AGTGAAATGCCCCATTTGTGGTCACTCTACAGGACCTATGAAAAGATACCAGGCTCTTGCCTACCCGCAGACCACAGGCCATTTTATGTTCTGACTGCTGAAGCAACATAGTGAGTTATTTCCTAGGAGTAAATTAAGCCTCTCTAAGTACATTGATGCCCTGAAAGGAAGTCAATGCAGATAACCTCCTATTCCCAGAGTAGGGAAACCAGGCTCATTATCTGCAGGCTCAGAAAGAGATAATCTTTAAGAAAAAAGACATTTGGTAAAACAATTAGACCTAAAGGAAACCATAAAAACAGATAAATTAGAATTAATTAAAATCTTAGATTAAAGAAAATTCTCTAATAAAGTTTTGGTCTAATTATGATGCAAGCCTAGAGGAACAGCATTTGCAAATGTTGGGGAAAGAGAAATAGTACATCTTAAATAGTAAGAAAAAGTCCAGAATGGCGAAGTTTAGTCTGTAAAAGAGAACGATGCTGAGAAATGATTCTGGAACCAGAAGTGGGACCACTTTATGAAGATCACGCTATGGAATCTGCACTTAATCACAAGGGAAATAGAGAGCTCTGCAGATTGTAAACACAGGGAGAAATGAACATATTTGCCTTTAAGAAACACCTTGTTGTCTCTCAAGTACTCCTCAAAACCTTGTGTTTGATCCAATAAGTAGCTCTTCCATAGCGGTTTTAGAAATAGAGTATGAATATATTTCAATAGGTAAAACAACTAGTGAAGAAGTTTCTTTGAATGGATTCAAATGACTCCACTACATTAGATGGCCCTAGGAAATCTTCCATGATACCTTGTTAAATGAAAAACAAACAAGTTACTAAGTTATAGGTATCATATAATTCCATTCTTGAATAAAAACAATAAAAATCCTTAGCCTATACATAGGCATGCATATTTATATATTAATATATTTGCAAAGGCAAGGGAAAACATGAAAAACAGCAAATTATTGGCAGAGATTCCATTAGGAGATTGGGAATCAAGGAGAGATGGCAAATTTTAGTCAAGCCATAGGAATATTTTTTGAGTAATTTAATACATAAGTTTTATGTATGGGATTCAAATGATGGAAGTACATGAATTGAGTGAAACAAATAGAGATACTCCAGAGCACCACTGTCCAACAGAATGTACTGCCAGTTATAAATGCCAACCACATACTATTTTTAAATTTTCTAGTAGCTACATTAAAAAGCAAAAAGAAACATGAAACTAACTTAATTAGTATATTTTAACCCAATGCATCCAAAATATTATTTCATCTTGCAATCAGTATAAATTATTAATGAGATACTTTACGCTGTTTTCATACTAAGCCTTTGAAATCTGGTGTGTTTCACACATTTCCAGGGCTTAGTAGCCATTTGTGGAGAGTAGCTACACTGGACAGCGCAGCTCTAGAGGAAACTGATGGTTTTGTTACTGGTTAATTTCACTGGCAGAGACAGCATCACTGTTGGTCAGCTCAGTGACAGCCTGGCAAATTTGGCCCTGGTCCCATGGTCTTAATCTTGGTTCAGCTTCATATTTTTCAGCTCTATCATTTTTCAGTTGAGAAGACTTGCTACTATTTAATACATTTTTTTGTTACCAGTGTGTATGTAGAATAATGACAAAGTCTACAGTTGAAGTAAAAATGATGAACGGTGTACTTCCAGAAAACAGTAAGAAACTACTTAAAAAAAAAATATGTGAACAAACAATCTTGTAGGGAAAAAGGTAATATGATATTAATTCTGAATTTTAGCTGTGGAAAATTTGAACTGTAAATATTTTCTATTGAAGGAGGGAGCAAAGGAGACAAAATTTCACAAAAGTAAAAATTCATTAACCAAGATATTTACGACCTGATGACTCACCCGAATATCTAGATGAAGAGTTTTTTCTTTAAGCTCCACTCAACCACCGAGTAGCTGGGTAAATTTGGATAATCTCCATAAATGCCCTGAGCCTTAGTTTCTCCAGTAATCTATGGAGAACTTATTTAATAAGCTTGTAAAATTTTAAAAAAGTCATGTGATAACAGCATGTACACAAAATGCTTTGTAATATATTGTGAAATAATTAAAATAACATTTTTGAAGTTGAATTTAAGGAAACTGCCAGAGATACTAAATTTCTAGTTTCTATGGTTACTGGGAGGTCTGAATTTTGGAGAATATAAGTCAAGAAAAAAATATAATAAAGCTAAACTAAAGAAGTAGTTTTCAAAATGGTGAAATATATTCATAAATTTGGCTTTCAAAAAATTTGTCATTATAAACATATTTAGAGAGAAACATGGACTGTTTTTGCAGGTTATTTTTTAGGGGTACCATCTCAAATGTTTAAACTGGTGGCTGTCTAAACTGTAGAAAGTTTGGCTACAAACACAATGCACAACAACTAAGAAGGGAGAGATTTCAATACTTGATGTCTGCTCTTCAACAAAAACCCATGAGACTGGAGAATCATTCGCTCAACTAAATCCCAGAATTATTGAATATTAAAAGAGTGCATTTTTATACCACTGGCTACCTATATTCCTTCCACATTGGCTAGAAAATTGACTCTTCTATGAGAATAATATGATAAGTTTATTACCCTTAACTCTTCATCAATTTCATTCTTTACATCCCAACAGTAACCCAAGAAATTTCATTGTTTGGGTTTGTGTGTTTGATTACTACTGTATGTCAGGTTGCTCTCCAGGTCAAGGCAAGAAAGTGAGTATGCTTTTGCAGTATTTTAATTGCCAGCCAGTAAATAAAATATCTAATTTAAGAAAATTTGATATACAAATATTCAACTTATGAAACAGTTACATTTTGAGGATGATCATCACTTTGAAAAATAATTCATCATTTTACAAAATAATTTACTACCATTTTTTTTACATAGCCAGTTTCCCTACTGAAGTTAATATAGATTTATTTACACAGATATTTTCAGGAATACATCTATCACAAATGGTGAGGTACATCTTTACAGCGTTCTTTCTTGTAAATGGGTTTTGCAAAGACATATCTATGATAAATGAAGTGCTGTGAAATTTAACCTAATTCCATTAAGTTAAACTGGATTTTCTAGACATTCTTCCACCCAACCCTGGTCAAAAATAAATAAATAAATACAGTTGAGCAGCAGCAAGATCAAAAGGGCATGAAACACACAAAAAACGTTATTTATGCAAATGAAAGTGTGATGTCAAACCTCTTTGGTGTTTAGGAATTTCTGTTGATAGAGATAGAAATGAAAAGAAACCCCAAATTACTCACTGAAAGACCTCAAAAACATAATCCCTTTATTTGCAATCCTGCTGTTGTTTTATGTTTCCTTATTCTTTTCTACTGTTCGTCTTCATTAATGCTACCTAGTATCCCTATGTATTTAGAATAATACCCAATTCTAGGATATCTGGTACCGACAATATCCAATACTTTGTTTAAACTCATAAATGCATCTGTCAGTGACATCTGAGGGTTGTTAGAAACCATCATTTCCAGAACACTGAAAAGCAGTGTGTTACTGGCTCCAAGAATATCTCTCTATTATCACCATGTTCACCAATAAAATATCAGCACCCTATTCCTGATATAAATAAATTACCGGGAAAAATTTTTGTTATTGTTGCATTTATTGTTGTTGGTATTATTTGAAGGAATAGAGGTAATTTGAAATTAAATTTCGGTAGCGTATGCATAATGATGATGTATATGATCTTTACTTTGGAAAGAAACACAAAGACAAAAACAGAAGGGGCAAAAGAAGAATCATTGGAAAATACTGCAAGTTTGAGAATAGGCCTACAATTTCCCTACTGCCGTATGTCTAACTTAGAACAATTGGATATTTCACTATCCTCAGGGCTTACTGAGTCCTAACATACCTGAGATAAAGATGTGCTTGAAGTAATTAGAATATTCATCAGGCTTACTGTGTTTCTGCAAACCTGTCCAGCTCATTCATTCCTAATAGCCTAGGCCAAAGCCAGATTTAGGAGGGAGCAGTACTCAGTGCCTCTGGCTTTCCTGAAAACTAAAATCTAATATTTCCAGTTGAATTCTAACATCCCATACCAAATATGCTTTTTAAAATCTTCTAACTTCTATAACATAATTGAATCTAAAGAATCTAATATATCTTTAATTTTACACATTCCTCTTGCTTTGCAAGAAGAGACACAAACTTACGGAGTTTACCAAACTCATTGTCTCTCAAAATATGGCATTTCTGAAGTGGCAATAGTAGCCCCTCTATACACACACTTCTTCGCTCGGTCTGTTGGTGTCTGAGAGGCAGTGGGGTAAAGCGGTTAAGGGCCTGGCCCTGATGGACACGGCATAGCTCCGCCACTAGCTGTGAACCTTTCCTGAGCCAGCGCTTGCCACAGTTTCCTCATCTATAAAGTGGGGATAAGAACAGTAGCTCCTTCAGAGAGTGTTTATGAGCAGTACCTATATATTAATACATGTATGGCATATAGAACAGTGGCTGATGCTGTTATTGCTGTTATTCCTTATTTTTGATGTATGGCAATCCAAAACTGGGTTTTGTAAAACTATGCAGTTTCAAGTCAATGCGAAATCATATACAATTTCTCTAGTTCATGGAAGTAATTTTTGAAGTAAAATGAATTCAGCATTTTTCTATTGATTTGAAATAAATGCTAATTGCCTGTGATGAAGAAACTTCTATTTCCATAGTGGCTTAAACAGACACAGGTTACATAATTTACACTTTACAAAGTTGCCAGTACCTTTTTTCGTATCTGGTGAAAACACTTTCCCTTTTGGGAATTTGGTGAATGAGTGTAATATAAGCTAAATTACCTTGGAAACAACAGCAGAAACAAGTAATTAAGAATGTTGACCCTGTGGAGAAAACTATGTGTCTATATCCACTGCTAAAATTAATAATGATTTTTGAGTGATTTTAATTTTAAAGAAATATATACCAGTCACTGAGGGAAAGAAGAGGAAACTTCTAGATTTTTGTACTTCTTTTGAATTGACAACAATACTGCACTGATTGAAAACAGAATTTCACTTTGCTTAGATTTGGATTGTCAGAGTGAGTTCATTTTCATCTGTATATTATGAGTAGGCAATCATCTTGCTTTGTTTAAGGTGCTTAAACTACTTTAATCTATCATTGTTCATTTCTATCACTGAGAACTTCTGCCATATTTTTGAAATTCAAGTTATTCATAAAGACTCATATTTACACTGATTAGCAGTTAAACCAGAAAAAGGTAATTGGTTTTTTTAAGCTTGAGATACAACCTTTTTTTCTGACAAAATATCATTAAAAATCATCAATCATCTAAATTAAGACCAACAGTTTTTTTTTACTTACTGAAAGGAAAACTGGGCGACCTAAAATTCCATGAAGTATACCTGATTTTCATTTTAACAGAGAGTTTGATCATGACTTCATGAGAACCAGGCTTGCTTGCTTTAATTGTGTACTATAATTATTTACATGTTCTTGAGAAATAATTTGATATTATTTGTGTTTTAAAGCCAAACTGTAGGGCTGGGTGAAAAGTCCTTGGTAAGTAACCATCTCTAGAGACCCTAAAAAATTATGAAAAGCTCTAATATTTCAGCTACGTTGTTTTATGCATATAAAAATATCTATTGTAGGAGTCAACTACCACATGAAATAAATTGCATTTGTTTTCATTGAAAAAGATAGCTAAAAATTTCCTGTGGGTTATTGCAACAGTACAAGAATACAAGGTGCGTTTATTTATTAACAAAAAAATTGTAAAACAAATTGTGAAAGCAAAAGCAGGCTACAAAACAAAGGTTTTTGATAGCCTTTGCCTTAATTAAACTTGTTACACATTAATATGCCACAGTTAATAAATGCTATAAAGTGTACGTTAGCATTTGCTAATTCGCTTTTAAACATCTCCCCCCACCCAGACCACTACGGAAAATACGTGTATGCAGGATATACACTTCCTCCTTCAAGTATCACAATCTTGTTGTCACATAGTCCTCGTGGGTGACTGTGTCAGTGAGGTTTACGTCATAGTCTACGCTACAGTCCTCTTCCTTCCCGCGCTTCTCCTTTGGTATTATTGGGACAGTGTCTTCCACGACCACTTTCTCTGACTTGAACGGACACACTCTCTTGCCTACCTGTAAACCGAGGGTGTCTGTGTTCCTTTCTCGATGGTTTACTAATATACATTGTTCACTGAGGCCGGGGATGTTCAAGTCACTCCGTGAAGCTAAGCCTCGGGATTCCAGTTGAATATTTCTCTCCAGTGGTCCTTCAGCCTGTCGACGAGCCATCTCTTCTGAAACAGAGAAGATTTGGTTTGCATTTTGCTCAGCAGCGTTGTGTTTTGATCGTCTGTGAAATAACCCAAAGTTTTTGATATCAGTCACGAAATTCACTTTTCTCTGCTTCTCCCTAGGGGGCTCCTGCACCACCAGGGCGGAGCCATTGCTTATGTTGTGTCTTTCAGAGGCAATTGCTGCCGATCTCGGATGAATCAGGGTGGTTAAATCGAAAAGGCTGAAGTTCTTTTTCTTGTCCCTGCTGCTTCCTTCGTTATCGCTCTTTTCATCGGAGTCAGCTGAGTTGGAAGACTCCGTCGCGGCGTGAGCGGATTGCACCGTACATAGTTTACTTCCTCTTAGTAACCCCAGGACTTCGAAGCGGAAACTAGAAATGTCTTGCTTTAGTTCCTAGGTGAAGTTTAAAATGATAAAATTAGTTTTATGACTTAAATCAACATCATTTGCTTATTTCATAGATGAGTCTGACCTATTTTAAGAGCTAAGCTTCCATTCTGCTGTGGTTCCATTAAGAATTGCGTTTTCTCACCGGCACTTGTGTCATTTTGATGTCTACTAATTTCGCTGTTGGAGTTCTGGAGGAACAGGCGGATTTCCTAACTTTGATGTAAAAGGAAACGAAAAGAATTTTCTTTTCCACCACTATGTAGTCAAGTATATTGGGTTTTCGGGAGAAAAGAGTTTCAAATACTTCTTCTCTAAAATATACATCTGCTTTCCAGTCACTTCATACTCTCTCAGAGATGCATTTTTTAAAGATTTTTAATATTGTCACAGTTTTGCTGCCCAAAAGGATATTTAAAAAAATAAAGTGGAGTCTAGTCTTCCAAGAGTTGGCAGTGACTTTCAACTGTTTACTGCCTTGAAGTTGATTTTACCCAACACCTGGGTCAACCGCTAAATCCTGCCCATTGCTTCAGATCAGACAGCGTGTCTTATATTCATCCTTTTCTCATCTTTCTGGACAATGGAATTCTCAGTCCTAACCTGATGGAAGCCTTTGTGGTGGTCTCCTGCCTCCAACCTATCTCCCCAAACACCGTGAACCATTTAACTTCAAAATTTGGATTGCTGTGACTGCAAAGAACATTTTGGACCCTAGCCAACTTTCAATCTGCGCTTTGTTTTGCAGTTTCTCTCCTCTACCTAACTGACTGCTTATCTTTATTCTTTTTATCAAACCTGCTGCTTTTCTCTGTTAAAGGTCCTCTTTGGGTATTTTATTTGTTTGTTTTTGCCTATAAGATCTTATTGACTTTAATCATTCTTCAAAAATCTCTACAAACTGATGCAGAATAACAAAAGTATTTCATACACATGATATGAGCATATACATATTTCATGTATTCCACTCATCTCCCCTGATAGAATTAAAGAAAATCCTCAGGGGGAAAGACTGAGTTTATAAGTCATAGTTAAGCTCAAACCTTAAATTTCCACTACCAAAGCAGTGTAGAACACAAAAAAGGTTTTGTTGTTGTTTTCAGGGTGCTGGCACTAAATGTTTTAAGTTTAGAAATCAGACTGAAATTTCAAAAACTAAAGCTGTCTCGGTAGAGTGTTGCTGGGATCAGCAAGTCAAATGCCACTGGGCACTAGGATTTCTCTGCCTCCAAATAAGTCCCTTGACATTTCAGATTAAGTATGTTTGGAAACAATGTATTTTGAGGCGAAATTTCTCCACTTGTTTTTATTTTGATAATTCAATAGGACTTTAATTTAAAATCAGAAGACATCCGGTCTTACTGGAACACAGGGCTGTTTCCAGCTTTGATTTTAAATGTGCTGTGCCTGGTTCCACGCTCTGCAGAATCTGCCTTTCAGTGATGATGGTGAAGATGAAAATGCTTACCTTAAAGTTCTCTTCCGTCAGACCTTCTTCAGTCTTGGCATCTCTGATCATGGCAGCCACGTACCGCTTCACCAGATTCCTCATAACTTCCTGAGGCATTTTAAAACAACAGAATGGATATTCAATGCATAAATATGCTTGCTTTCTTGAGTCAGTTCTGAAGAGGAGATTGTACTTTATTTTAGTGTAAATTTCAAGATATAATACAAGAGTAACTTACTTGATATTGGTGATGTCTTCTTAAATTATCAGCAGCTCGTCTCTGAAAAGGAACGAGGACATATACTTTTTGGTTATATTGATACATTAACATTCTGGAAAATAATTCATTGTTTTTTTAGTCAAAAATTTTTTCCCCTCATTTCTCCAAAGAGAGAATTTTACTAGACAATGGATAATAGCTAAAGAGTGCTTCACGTGAATCGAAAGATAGGGAGCCAAAACAACAAAGTGCAAGGTTATAATCCTATGGCATTTAATATATAGAATTAGTTAACAATGGTGGAACTGGCATTTTTCTAATATAATGCGATGGAGAATTAGGTTATCGTAGTGAATACGTACCCCAAATCAGTTGAAATGATGCTAAGAGACACAGACAGAACATATCAAATAAAAATTAAAAGAAATATCAAGTAGAAATAATTCGATAGAGTGAAAAGCTAGCATTATAACAATAGGAAGGTCTAAATGTCAACAGAGCAACATCAAGAATTTAACCACGATATGCAACACGAAATCAGGAACATTGTTAGACAATAAATTCCCCAACACTGAATTCAATCAGATGTACATTAGAGAGGGTTGCTGTTTTAATTAGATGGTTGAATTTAACAAAAAAATAAAATAAAAGATTCTGTTCAAACATAGGGTTCATTAATTTATCATTTTTTAAAATAAATGTGAATTCCGGCTCATTTTGAAGAGATCAGAATGGTTTTGGATCAGAACTAGGATTAGCACAGAGCAGTGACTTCAGAGTGCAGAATGGAGAGAGAAGATGTTTAATGATTAGAAAAAATTCCATGATAAGTTAAGTTAAATAATAAATACTAAAATTGTATATGTGCAGATTTCACAAGTATTCTAAAGATACTAGGAAAAAAGCTATTATAATCCCAATTTTATGCATATTGAATAAATATCAGTTTTGATTCTTAAGGAAGAAAACTGGCCAAAATAATCTAAAATAAAAATATTTCTGTAATAAAGGATTGAATTGGTAAATTGAGAGAAAGCAAAAAAGATAACATATCTGAAGTTTAAATAAGTCTTTTGATCTTGTTCCTTACTAAATACTTAATCATAGGCTGATGAAATGGAATTTTGAGAGTTATAACTGCATACATCTCTGTGAAATTATATTAGAAAAAAAATCAAACAATTCAAAAGAAACTCTTTCTTCTCTTTAGGAGAATAGGGGACAATGGCATTTTTGCTGACCATGAGAATGGATTTGTGTTTCATGATTATTAGTGACTGTCAGAAACAGATGAGACAATGCCTAGCTTCCCGAAAGCCACTAATGATTTGAATAGCATTCATTTTCTGCATGAATCTTAAGAAACAAATTTTCAATATGATTATGGTATTAAGACTGGTAAATTTGAAACAATACAAAATTAGAACATCTTGAAAAAAATACAGCATGGGAATTTCAGAGTGGGCCACCAGATGGAGGTATGTGACTCCTATTGAGACACAGCTCAGCTGAAATCCGTGATAAATAGCACTTCTGGAAGGAAAAAAAAACCTTTTAGATGCCCTTAAATTTACTTCAAGTGAACATAAAAACTGAAACAAGCTGTATACCGACTTTAACACGCTCACTATAAATATTGTACAGTAGATCCCTATTCTATGATTTAAGTAGATAGAAACTTTGAATGTAATATAGAATTTAGTAGACTCAATTTTTATTATTTTGGTGTCCTATAGCATTTTTCTGTTATGTTTTAGTCTTTAAAAAGCCAATAAAAAATAGTCAGTAGAGAACACCTTGAAGTCATGATTTCACTTTAAATTTCCTTAATGCAAAACTAAAACTAAGGATGACAGAATCAGAAAATTATGAGTACTAAGTGAAAATTATTGAAAGTAATAAGTGAAAAGTGATGCCTTTTAGTATTAAAAAGAGCACGAACTGCCTTTCCTTCAGCAGAACTGTACTTATATTCAAATTTCAACATTTTAATAAAAATTTTTTAAAAAGCAAAATAATGTGGCAGAAACAGAACATAGAAAAAGTTCACTGTGGTAACTTTCAGGAGTTGTTCAATATCTGTAGCCCAGGTTTAAGGCTAAGATAATATAGTTAGTTGTTTTTTGCCAATTTTTTCCCACACCTACATAGTAATACTACAAAGCTATTTTTAGTCTTGTGAGATTATATCAGCTAACTAAATTTCACCATGCTAGGAAAATAAGAATGGATGAAGTTAACCGTATTCTAAATACTGAATACAAAAATGAATGGAATGAATTCACCGAGTGATAACAGCTAAATTATGCAGCTCAGATACCCCTCATGTCCACTTACTCTCTCCTTCCCTGGTTAGCACCGTGGAATTGATTCTTGTGTTATTGACCATTGATATTATGCCTAACTGTTTCTACTTTCTCACTGCCTGGGAGGCAGTGTAGTGTGGTGTCAAGAACATGAATTTAAGATTAACATCAGGATTTGAAATTGACTGAAACTGAACAAAGAATTTATCTCTGAGACCCTGTCTCTTCCCCTGGTTTTTATTTTGCAAGGTAAAGATAAACTCACTGAGTGATTTTGAAGATTAAAGCAGCTAAGAGATTCAAGGCATCTACCATTAACTAATGTTAGTTCTCATCCTCTTTCTATTTTTTCCTTTCTGATAGCAATATGATTTAACACAGTTTTTTATAAAAAACTTATTAAGTCACAAAACTTGTGGATAGTTTGACACGTATCAGGATTACCTCTGGGGAAGTAAAAGGGTTGTACTTGGATGTAATTGTCTCTCTTTGCGTGATTTGCCTTGCATTTCCTGCTCGCAGAGAGCGTTTTCTTTAGCTGAAGAATTGGATACTTTTAGCCTAGGCAATAGAGGCTTGGAAGTAAGAAATTTGTGTTTAAGTAATAGTGTGAGGGGATGGTTCTACTAAATATAGATAAATGTAACAAATTCTGTAGACAGTGATTGTTTTATTAAAGCTTTATTTTTTTAGAGCAACTTAAGGTTCACAGCAAAATTAAGAGGAAGGTACAGAGAATTCCCATATACCCCCTACCCTGCACATGCCTAGCTTCCCCCATTATCATTGCTCCCAACCAGAGTGGTACATTTGTTACAACTGATGAACCTACACTGACACATCATAATCACCCAAAGTTCATAGTTTACGATAATAGTTCACTCTTGGTGTTGTACATTCTATGGGATTGGACAAATATATAATGATATGTATCCATCATTATGATATCATACACAGTATTTCCAGTGTCCTACAAATGCTCTGTTCTCTGTCCACTCATCCCTCCTTTACTCCCCCATCCCTACCTCAACCTCTGGCAACCAGTGATCTTTTACTGTCTCTGTAATTTCGCCTTTTCCAGAATGTCATAGGGTTGGAATGATATAGAATGCAGCCTTTTCAGATTGGCTTCTTTCACTTAGCAATATGCATTTAAGTTTCCTCCTTGTCTTTTCATGCCTTGATAGCTTATTTATTTTTAGTGATGAATAATATTCCGTTGTCTGGATGAATCACAGTTTATTTATCATTCACCTACTGAAGGATGCCTTAGTTGCTTCCAATTTTTGGCAATTCTCAATAAAGCTGTTATAAACATACATGTGCAGTGTTTTGTGTGGACATAAGTTTTCAGCTCTTTTGGGTAAATACCCAGGAGTGCGATAACTGGATCGTATGGTAAAAGTATGTTTAGTTTTGTAAGAAACCATCAGACTGTCTTCCAAGTAGTTGTAGCATTTTGCATTCCCACCAGCTATGAATGAGAGTTCCTGTTGCTTTACATTCTTGCAAGCATTTGGTGTTGTCAGTGTTCTGGATTTTGGCCAATCTAATGAGTGAGTAGTGCTGGTCAGTCATATTTTAGGAGGTCCCAAAAGTTTTATGAACATCTGTGCATTATCTTGGATTTTTGTTATGACTTCTGTGAATTTTCCTTTGTGGGTTTCTATATCACGGCTCTTAGCTCATAGGGCCGATTTAAGATATATTTATTAAGCGACTGTGTGTTCATGGCAGTGGGATACAAGAAGCCAAAGATGAATATTTTTTTTTTGCCCTTAAGTGGCTTATAGTCTATTAGGTGAAATACCAAGAACACATATGACTACAGATGAAGGCAAAGAAAGAAGAGAGAAAACATGGGGCGTGCTATAGGAATGTTATTTGAGTACAGGGAAGGAAGAAGTAGTATTGGGCTAAGGAAAGAATCAGTAGCAGCCGTCAAACAGGGAATGCGATTTTAGATTGGACATGAAAGAATCAGAGGGTTTGGCAGGAAGAGAGCCACAGGTGTTCTAGAAGATGGGACTAGGATGAGCAAATATGTTAGTGCTAGAGGGTGAGAGACATATTATGGCAACTTATACCAGCGCAGTTACGATGTGCTCTGATAATAGGAATACATGGATTAGATCATGTAGGAAAGTTAGCATGGGTTCTTTATGTAAAATCTTAGATGACACAGTGAATTTAGTGGTTAGTAGGCACCTGGGGTTTCTGACTAGTCGAGTGACACGTGGTGAAAATTTAACTTCTGTGATAGTCATCTGTAAGCAGCATTAGGTAGGAAAGGTATGTGTGGGAGAATCACTAGATGAAGAGGTTAGTTGGGATGCTACTGCCAGAGTGTAACTGAAGGGCACAGTGAGTGTGAGCTAAAACGGTAGCAGTGTGAATGGAAAGGAAGGGACAGGGAATGCTGAGGGGGAACAGAAGCAAGCAGGCTTGGCAGTTGGTGTGGGAGCATGAAGACAAAGATGTCTAGCCTGGCTGCTGAGATGTTGGTGCTATTAAACAATAATAAAGAACTCAATTTTGGAGATACTAACAGAGGACACTGAGGTAGAAATGCCACTGTCTATTTTAAATGTTTGGGGAAGGCTAGGACAAAAGAAGAAGACTCGAGGATTATATGCATCAATGCAATGGTGGATACAGTCAAAAATCCACATTTCTCAGTATTTACAAAGGGAAACTATCACATACAATAAAATCATTGATAAATTGTGAGTATGTCTATTAGGAATGCATAAA